CCTCACCGGAGCTCCTGCTGCGCGTTGGTTGAATCCAGCGTGTCCTCCAGCTCGCCCCGCAGCGCCTCCAACTCCTCGCTCAGGTCCCGGCGCTGCTTCTCCGCCTTGGCCCTGGCCCCGCGCTCTGCCTCCAGATCCTCCTGGGCCTCGGCCATCCCCGCTTGAGCCTCTCGTAGGGATTTGAGGAGCTGGGCCCGCGCCCCGCCTTCTTCCTCCGCCCTGGGGGTCGACAAGGACGTGGAGTTGGTACCGGGGTTTGGTAGGAGGGAGGGACGACTCCCAGGGGGTGTCTAGTTCAGGCTTAAAATCCTGACTCTGCTCTTGGACAAGTGACAGCACTGCTCGGCGCCTCAACGTCCCCGGCTGTAAAATGGCAACAGCAGCAATAGTAACCCCCGCCGGCCTCGTGGAGCTCCTGCCACTTGCCAGCCCCCTGGCTCCATCGCCTCATTTCATCTGCCTTAGAGTTGATTTAAGAACTCTGGTAGCATAGCGCCTAAGGCACTTGACTGCTCACCAGAAGGCTGGCGGTTCAAACCCACCAGCCACTCCTCGGAAGGAAGGTTGGGCAATCCTACTTCCGTAGTGATACTGCCTCGGAAACCCAAGGAGGGGTCGCTATGAGTCGGGGCCGACTCCACGGCAAACAACAACAACAGAGTTGATTTGGACTCACAGCGCCCCTAGAGGACAGAGTGGAACTGCCCACAGGGTTTCCAAGACTATCAATCTCTATGGAAAGAGCTCTGGTGTCGTAGTGCCTAAGGCACTTGAATGCTAACCAGAAGGCTGGCAGTTCAAATCCACTGGCCACTCCTCAGAAGGAAGATCGCGCAATCGATTTATGTAGAGGTACTGCCTCAGAAACTCACAGCCAAGCCACTTGTTAATTCAAAGCCGCTTTTGGGCTGTTCACTAGCCCTGGTGGCACAATGGCTAATAGAAAGGTCAACGGTTTGAACCACCAGACGCTCCAACCATGTGGCAGTCTGCTTCCATAAAGATTGCAGCCTTGGAAACCTTGTGGGGCAGTTCCACTCTGTCCCCTGGGGTGCTGTGGGTCAGAATCGACTCCCCGGCAGGTTGGGCTGTTCAGAACGGGGAGGCTGTCTGTGCAGGGGGAGAAGGATAAGGTACCTCTTTGCCCCCCTCTAATGCGTCGGGCACTGCGCAAACTCTTGCTCACACCAGGCCTTGCTGCACTTCTCCTACAGCGTGGCAGGGTTGACTGCCTGCTATCTGCGTCTGACACAAGGGCATACAGGCTCAAGGGGGCGTAGCTTGTGCAGAATCTGGCTGGCGAGGGTGTGACTGGAGCCCTCGCCACGCTGGCTGGCAGGCCGTGCGCGCGGACGGGCGGCTCGCCCCGGCAGCCCCACCCCCGGCACCTGGCCAGGGCCGCCTGCAGCTCCTCCTCCTTGCGGCCCAGCTGGGCCCGCAGCTCCTCCGCCCGCTGCTGCTGCTCGGCCATCTGTTCCTGCAGCTCCGAGCTCTCGCCGTCCAACCGCCGCTTCAGCTTCTCCAGCTCCTGGCGGCTCTTCTCCTCCTTCCGCAGGCGGTCTGCAGCAGGAAGTGGAGGCCGCATGCAGGGGCTCTAGACTCACAGGCTCAGCAGCTCCCAGCACTTGCCACGGACAAGGCTGAACCCAGCACCTGGCCCCGAACCCGCTTCCCCTCCTGGCTGCCTCACCTTGGGCCAGCCCCTTCCCGCTGGGCCAGCCTCCAGGAGCCGCTCTCTCCTGTCACCCCGCTCACGCCCCACGCCAACCGCCCCCCCGACTCTCTCTGCCCCATCAGCTTTGTTTCCTCTCCACCTCCTCTCTGTCCCTTTTCCCTGCTTCATTCTGACTCTGCATCCACAGCAGAGGACAGAGAGACACAAACGTGTCTGAAACAGAGAGCTACAACAGTCGGAGAGAGAGACAGACAGACATCAAAGGACAGAGCACTGGATTCAGAGACAGAAGCCACTCAAGGGCTGGGAGGACGTGTGATCTTCCTGGCCCCACTGAACGGGGCGGGGGCACTGCCGAGGGCCCGCGGTGCACGAGGCCTGGTTGC